TTTGTTCCTTCTTTTGTAGTTTCATTAATTGTGAGTTTAGACTGTTCATTTGGGATTGTTCTTTCCTGAGGTAGGCCTGTATTGCAATATATTTCCCTCTTAGCACAGCCTTCACTGCATCCCACAGATTTTGCAGTATTGAATTATTGTTGTCATTTGTCTCCATATATTCCTTGATCTCTGTTTTTATTTGGTCATTGATCCACTGATTATTTAGGAGCACATTATTAAGCCTGCATGTGTTTGAGGGCTTTTTCATTTTCTTTGAGTAATTTATTTCTAGTTTCATACCTTCATGATCTGAGAAGCTGGTTGGTACAATTTCAGTCTTTTTGAATTTACTGAGGTTCTTTTTGTGGCCTAGTATATCATCTATTCTTGAAAATGTTCCATGTGCGCTTGAGAAGAATGTGTCTCCTGTTACTTTTGGATGGAGTGTTCTGTAGATGTCTGTTAGGTCCATCTGTTCTAATACATTGTTCAGTGCCTCTGTCTCTTTATTAATTTTCTGTCTGGTTGATCAGTCCTTTGGAGTGAGTGGTGTGTTGAAGTCTCCTAAAATGAATGCATTGCATTCTATTTCCCTCTTTAATTCTGTTAGTATTTGTTTTACATATTTAGGTGATCCTGTGTTGACTGCACAGATATTTATAATAGTTATATCCTCTTGTTGGACTGAGCCCTTTATCATTATGTAATGTCCTTCTTTATCTCTTGTGACTTTCTTTGTTTTGAAGTCTATTTTGTCTGATACAAGTACTACAACTCCTGCTTTTTTCTCACTATTTGTTGCATGAAATATCTTTTTCCATCCATTTGCATTTAGTCTGTGTATGTCTTTGGGTTTGAAGTGAGTCTCTTGTAGGCAGCATATATATAGGTCTTGTTTTTTTATCTATTCAGTGACTCTTTGTGTTTTGATTGGTGCATTCAGACCATTTAAATTTAGGGTGATTATTGATAGGTATGTACTTATTGCCATTGTAGGTGTTAGATTCATGGTTACCAAAGGTTCAAGGGTAATTCCCTTACTATCTAACAGTCTAATTTAACTCACTTAGTATGCTATTAGAAACACAACCTAAAGATTCTTTTTTTTTTCCTCCTTTTTCTCCCTCCTCCATTCTTTGTATGTTATGATTCATTTTCTATAGTCTTTGTCTATCCCTTGGGTGACATCTATTTAGCCTTAAGAATACTTCCATCTATAGGTGTCCCTCCAAAATGCACTGTAGAGGTGGTTTGTGGGAGCGATGACAAGTAGTGCGGGCTTGGTGCACCTGATCTATGGCCTTGCAGAGACTATAAGGGGAAAATATGGGGGAGAGAAACCGGTGCATGGCTTCCGGCCCAATGTATAGAAACTGATGAATTTTGGATATGATATTTCTGCCTTGGGCTTGGGGGAGGGCAATTCGTCCCCCAAGATATATCCATCCCTGATCTCCCAACATCCCCCCTTGATGTAGTAGCAGTCTCCGTTCATCATCGGGGTATTGGAGCAATAGAGAGGGGGAAAGAAACAGCACACAGGGTTGCCCCAACTTGGATGTTAATTTTTGGGACATGGCATCTGCCAATGCATTACCTCTGGTTACTGGATCGTTTCCAGTGTGATGTCCCTTACAATGCACAATGGCTACTTCCTTGGGGTCCTGTAGGGCCTGTAGCAGGTGGCTGATAGCCCTGCCGTTGATGATTGGGGTTCCCTTAGTGGTAAGGAAGCCCCTTTCCAAATTTCAGCATGAGTGTGTGTAACTAGGAAGGCATATTTAGAGTCAGTATAAATTGTGGCCCTCTTCCCAGCTGCCAGCTGTAACGCCTGGGTAAGAGCCACTAATTTGGCTTTCTAGGAGGTGGTCCCAGATGGGAGTAGGTTTGCTTCTATCACCTGTGACAGAGTCACCACTGCATAGGCCGCCCTTCACACCCTGTTATTCCCCTTCACCAAGCTTCCATCTATGAAAAAGGTCAAGTCAGGGTCCTCATGAGGCACGTCTTGTAGGCCCTCTCTAGGTTTCCTAAGAGCCTCTATAATCTCTACACAGGAATGAGTGGGCTGATCCACCTGATCGCTGACAGGAAGCAAGGAAGCTAGGTTAAGGGGTGGAGAGACTTGTAGGGTTACCTGCGGATGCTCAATGAATAGAAGATGGAATTCTTATACTCTTCAAGGACTCAAGGAGGCCAGGGATTTATGACTCAAAAGATCCTGTAACTGGTGTGGGGAATACACAGTAATGGGCTGTTGGAGAGTTAATTTCAGGGCTTCTCGGGCCAAACTTCCCGCAGCTGCCAGTGATTGGAGGCAAGGCTGCCACCCCCTGGTGGTGGTATCCAACTGTTTGGAGAGAAAGGCAACGGGACAGCACCCCAGCCCCACTGGCTGTACCAGCACTCCGGTGGCCACCCCTGCCCTCTCTGCTGTATATAGGGTAAAGGGCTTAGTTAAGTCAGGGAGCATCAATGGGGGGGATGAGAGCAACACATCCCACAACTGATTGAAAGCAGAAGCTACCTCAGTGGATGAAGTTAGCAGCCCAGTAGGAGTCTCTGTGGCAGCCGCATAGAGCAGTCTGGCCAGAAGGGCAAAGTTAGGCACCCAGTGTCTGAAAAACCCCACCAATTCTAGAAAGGATAGTATCTCGGCTCCTGAAGTAGGTGGCAGGAGAGTTTTAATCACAGCTGTTTGGTCCGCCGTCAGGGCTTTAGTGGTGGGAGTTAGAGCCAGCCCGAGGTATGTAACTTGGGGTAGAGGCAGCTGTGCTTTGGCAGGAGATACTCTGTATCCCATGTCTGCCAGGAAATTAATAAGGGATGTGGTGTCCAGGACTGAGGCCTCCTTTGAGGGGCTGCAAAGCAAAAGATCATGCACGTATTAGAGGAGAGTACTCTCACCTGTTGAATGTCGCGAGAGGTCCTCTGCCAGGGCCTGCCCAAAAAGATGGGGGCTATCTCTAAAACCTTGAGGTAGAACTGTCCAGGTTAATTGTCTAGACCAATGGGTGTCAGGGTCCTCCCACGTGAAGGCAAATAACGGCTGCGAGTCTGAGTGGAGAGGTATAGTGAAAAAGGCATCTTTAAGGTCTAGTACAGTAAAATGAGAGGTACCAGAAGGGACTTGAGACAGAAGAGTATATGGGTTAGGCACTACTGGGTGTAAGGGAATAACAGCCTCGTTAATTATTCGGGGTTCCTGAACAAGGCGATATGCTCCAGAAGGCTTTTTTACCGGCAAGATGGGAGTATTGCATGGAGAGTTAGTCAGTACTAAAAGCCCCTGCAAGAGCAGACGATTAACAATAGACTGTAGTCCCCTTCAATGAGCCTGCAAAATAGGAAATTGAGGCCAAGAGGGGAAGCGGGATGGGTCTTGAAGGCATATTAAAACTGGGGTGTGGTGGGTTGCCACCACAGGGGTGGAGATGTCCCACACGACCAGATTGACAGCAGTCCAGAAGTCGGGAGACTCAGGTTACCGTCATCTAACTCTCCTTCACCAACCAAAGCAATGAGGGAGTTTCTGGCATCCTGTAAGCATTTAAAAGGTGGGAGGGAAATAGAGGCTCCTAACTTATAGTGCAAATCCCATCCTAACAGGGGGGTAGGACAGAAAGGCATGACCAGAAAGGAATGGGTAAACAGGATGCCTTGGAAGGTGCAGGCCACCAGGCCCATCTCTAAAGGCTTGGAGAGGGTTCCCATGACCCCAACTATGGAGACCTTGGCAGGGTTCAAAGGCCCTTTAAAGAAGGGGAGAACAGAATAGGTAGCCCCCGTGTCCACCAAGAAGGAGATGGGCTTACCCACTACCCACAGCTTGGCTCTGGGCTCGGCAAGGGTGATCGGGGTGTCCAAGTCCAGGTGTCTTCAATCTTCAAGGATGCCCAGCAGGTCTGAAGGGCAGTCCTTTGAGGGCGTCTACCCCCTGCGGAGCTCTGCTGCCAGAGGAGGACCACCCCCAAGTGGACAGTCTACTTTCCAATGACCTCGCTTACCGCAGCTGGGGCACGGTCTCGTCGGTCTGTGTGGTTGGTTGGAGCACTTCCATGCCCAGTGCCCTCGTTCGCCACACCGAAAGCAAGGGCCCGGAGGTTTGAGTCGATCTTCAGGGACACCCAGATGATCTCCAAGAGCCGGCCACAGAGCAGCTGTTATGGCAAGAGTCTGTTCTGCCATTCGGGCAGCTGACCTCCTCTCGTTCTCATCCTCTCAGGGGTCTGGGGACCATCCTCAGCCTTTTTCAGCTTGTGCCTGATGTCGGGAGCTGACTGAGTTATAAAATGCATGGCCGGGAGAGAGGAACCTAACGCTGAGGCCGGGTCAATCTACAAACCAGAAGAGAAGGGGAACAAGATGGTGGAGAAACTGGAAGAGAAGGGGAACAAAATGGTGGAGAAACCAGAAGAGAAGGAGAACGAGGTTGTGGAGAAACCGGAGGAGAAGGGGAACAAGATGGAGGAGAGAAACATTGAGGAAGGGAGCTGGCCTCCGCGGTGGGCCTGGAGGAGCAGGAAGGGGGGTAGCCGAGATCCTCCGCCGAGTCCATCAGAGAAGAGCCTCCCAGTCATAGGAGGGGTAGAGATCGGTGGTCTTTGGCGGAGGCCTAGGCTAACAAAACTTGGGAAGGAGCACACTTAACACACATATCTGGGCGGGTGCACAGAGTCCAAAAAGCCTGCACATAAGGGGTTTCACCCCACTTTCTACTCCGGTGGCAAAAATTAGTTAAGTCGGTGAGGAAGCCAACATCGAAAGTTCCCTCAGGGGGCCAGCGAGACTGGTTGTCCAAGGGATATTGAGGCCCAGCTTGAGAGCAAAGGAAGACCAGCCTGTTTGTGAACTTCCTGGGACAAACAGAGCAGCCAAATTAGAAATGAGACACCGCAGTGGGGTCTGAGCCTCTGCTTTTGAGGGCTGGTTCTCCATGTCTGCGCCACTCCCCAACTAATCCCACTGAGAGGAGCACCCAGCATCCCAAGCATGCCAAGTCAGGGGAGACGTCCTGGGAGCCTGGGTGAGGGACATCTCCCACACTGCAGGGCCAGGGGCGGGCCGGATGCCCACAGAGGGTGGGGGGGATGCCCAAGGGGCCGGATGCCCCCACCTGGATATAGCTATGATTTTGGACGGACCAGGTGAAATGGAGTTAGGAAGGGAAGCAGACCAGGGGAAACTGAGGGACTCACCAGAAAATAGTCCATGCAGCAGAGAGCAGGCTGAGGTCCCGGGTCAGGGAAGGAGGGGTCAGGGCCACCGGTGGCCAGTTGGTGCCCCCACTCACACTCTCTCCCGGGTTTCGGTACCAAATGTAAGATAAATTCTAGCCAAAATAAGCAGGCAAAGAGAGGCAACAAAGGGCCAGGCAGTTTATTTGAACACAATTCCCGGGCAAGGTTTCCCAGTCTCCAGAAATGGAGGCTGGGAAAGTTACACTCAGCAGGGCAGGCAGCAAGTTTTTAAAGAAAGCAGGGGTAGGGGGAGCAAAGGTGTACAGTGGCGCAGGGATTGGCTCGCCTAGGGTACGTGGGGTCTCTCATTGGCCTTTAGCCAGGTACTGGAAAGTTACCACTACTCTTCTAGTTTGGGGGAAGGGCTCTAGTTAGGAATGTTGTCCGATCAGGCTCTGGAATGTTGTCAGACCGGAACGTGTTGGTCTCTTTGCCTTGTTTGGTGAGGCCTGAGCTTGTCCAGCAGGCTCACCTCTTCCCCTGGTGCTCCCAGCCTTACAATTTGATTCAGTTCTTATGGTATAAACAGCCTTGTTTTTGAATGTTAACATCTTCTCATGTCCAGATAAGCTGATGATGAATGTATAAAAGAGCTACAGATTAGAGTTTGAGAACCACTGTTAATAGGATTGTTTTATTAAAATAAGTGTTAGTTTATGCCTCTAAATAATTTCAGTACATAAAAACTGAGTATCTGATAGAGCCCGGACAGGAGCACCACCATTTTGAATAAGCCCACCTGCCGTCTCAGAGAGACCTGAGAGTCATCTTACTAAGGCTAGGAGCATTTTCCCAAGCCGCAGGCCCGCCTTTTCCCACAAGCCCACCCCGCCCCTCACAATCCTGGCCATAAAAAGCCTCTTAGCCTGTAGGGGGCGCCTTCTTTGTTCTGCTCACCGGAACAGACAGGTCCCTCTCAGGTTTGGACTGTTGAGTTCGCGTCCCTTCTCTTCCTTTCATCTGGCGCTGAAATCCGGGAGCGGGAGCCGAGAGCAGGGGCAGTTCTGCAGCCTGGGAGGCAGTGGGCAGGGGCAGCTGGTCCCGGGCCGACTCCCAGATCCCGAGGGCCTTCTGCGTCACGTCCCATTTCCCTCCCGGCTGCACCCCACACCCCTCACCCCGTGAACTCCAGCTGGGGACCACCCTGCCAGACCTCGATCTGCACACCCACCATCAGGCACTAATCCATCGCCGTTCCCAGGAGGGTGGCTCTGGCCTCGTCGGGTTTTTCTTGGCTCCCAGAGAAGGCCGACCCACCGACCCCCTTCCCTTCTGTGTTTAACCTTTCGTTCTCGCCCGTCCTCTGTGTTCTGCCTTCGAGAACACCGGGACAGAGGGGGGCGCCTGCACTCTGACTGGGGGCTGCCCCCTCTCAGCGCACAGGACAAGCCCGTCCGCTCCGGGAGACCGTGGACTCTGGGGGCGGTGGGGAAGCCGGTTGCAGGGAGACGTCCCGGCGGCCTGTTTCCTGACCTCGGCCACTTTCCTCGCCCTCCCTCCATGGGCAGTTCTCCCCCAGACACTGGGGACATCCCCCTCAGCAGTCCCCTATGGAGTCTTTCCCAGTTGGAATTAAAGGGAGACATTAAACCAAAAAACCTGATGCTTCCTCCACTTCCGTGTGGCCCCAGCACACACTGGTGACAGGCCGCGCTGGCGAGCGGAGGGCGCGTTCAATTTCCAGATGCTCCGAGATCCCGGTAACTTCCTCCGAGGCTCCCTGTGTCCAAGCCTTCGCCATCCTCCGCCGCCACCCTCCCTTGGTTCCTCTCTTCTCTCTTCAAATTGTTCTCACTGAACAAACCCCCTAAGTCTTCCACCGAACAAAAACTCTCTAAAGTTCTCACCGGCGACCAAAACTCCCCTCCCCCTCCCCTGACAGCACTGTGCCTTTACCCCTGTTCCCTCCGTGGACGAGCTCGACCCTCCGTATTCCCTTCCTCCTCCTCCTCCCCAACAGCCTCAGCAAAGTCCGAATCCCGCCCCGCCGTGGGCCCCCCCGAACACCCCGCCCCCTCCTCCTCTCTGATACCCTCGACCAGGCCGCCTCTTCTAACCCAGCCCCCTCTCCAAACCCGCCCTTCCCATGCCCCAGACACGTTCCTGCCCTCTCTCCTCCCTCCCAGCACCCCCCAGGCCGCTCCTCGCCCTCTCCCGCCCCTCCAGGAGGCAGCATGCACTGAAAGGCCCGTTCACGTTTGCGTCTCCTTTTCACTTAATGATCTGGAGTGTACCGAACAAAAGATGGGGTCCTTCTCAGAAAAACCCATTGAGTTCAGGAAAGAGTTCCTCCGCATTACTCAAATGTATGACCTCACTTGTATGACCTCACTGGGGGGAACATTCACCTCATCCTCACATCTACCCTCACGGATGACAAGAGGGAATGCATCATGCTGATGAGTTGCACCGCTAGCACCCTGCTAATCATGCTCCAGCAGCTTAAGCCGTCCCCAAGTAGACATACAACTTGATGACTCTAGAACAGCAAGTCCTGACCAGCCCTTTATGAACCGCCTTCCAGAGGCCATGGTCAAATACGCAAACAAAAGTCCTAACCTTCCTGAGTGTCTTTTTCTCCTACACCCCCACTTCATTTCCCAGTCTTACCCAGATATTCATAAAAAGCTCCAAAAATTAGAAAATGGACCCCAAACACCCCAAAAAGAGCTTGTAGACCTTGTCTTTAAAGTTTTCAACAACTGGGATGAAAAACAAAAAACTAAGAAAGAAAAAGAGGCTAAAACAGTATCAGATCTGGCCTTACTAGTTCGACCTCCCGCTGACAAGCCTGCAAAGGTTCCACCCCACACCCACCTAGCAAAGTGTTTTCACTGTGGCAATCCCAGCCACTGGGCAAAATGCCCTAATTCCAGGCCTTCCTGCAAAGCCATGTCCGAATAGCAGAAAATGGGGTCACTGGAAAATGGATTTTCCCCTAGGGAAGTCAGCCCCTCCCTTGAGTTCTCTCCCTCCAGGCGACTGGACACACCTAGAGAGGACATGGTGGCCCTCAGGCCTTATCTTCAGCGACCCATTGACACTGCCCAGGTCCCAAGGCCCCCTCCAGGACGACACCAGCAGATCCACAGGTAACAGTGGTGGTAGCCAGAAGGCAAGGTTCTTTTCTGGTTGACATGGGGCCAACCTCTCTGTGCTTACTGAATATTCGGGATCTTTGCTCCCCTCCTCTCTGTCAGTTGTTGGGATGTACGGCTTAGTAGAAACACCAGCCCAAACCCCTCCTTCATGTTGTTCCTTGGGCCATGTTACTTTCACTCACTCCTTTCTGGTAATCCCCCACTGCCCACCCCACTTCTGGGAAGGGACATCCTCCACCACGTGGGGGCGTCCTTACTCATTCCCTCACGTCCCTCGGAATCCTCCCTCATTTTCCCATTCATACCCCCTAAAGAGACCTGATAATATTCAATGGTGAAACTCTAGAGGTGTTCTCGTTAAACCAGGATTAAGGTGAAGATACTTGCTGTTACTGCTATTATTCAACTTCCCTCCAGAGATCCCAACCAAAAAAAATAATTGAGGTTATTCATACACATACAGATGTGTACACATATTTGTGAAATAAAAATGCAAAATCGTCACTACTTGAAAAGATTATTTTCTACCTAAAACTCTAAGATATACATTGAAAAATCTATTGAGAAAAAAAAATCAAGAAAAATAACTCATTCTCAGTAAAAGTAAAAATTACAAACTATCTTTAAAATGAGCTTATCTTTTGAAGAAAACTTTAAAATATTACTGGAAGTTATCAAAAAATAAAAATAAGCAGATTGATAAACCATGTTTCTCCCTAAATGAGAGCACTCAATATTGCCAATAAGTCAGATACCTACTAATTAACCTATAAATCCATTTCAATCCCAGCGGAAACAGCAATGGGATTCTGAAGACTGGTTGGGAGGAGGGATGGCAGCTTCATAGAATGACACTATTAAAGAAAAAAAAAACTTAAAGAATTAAAGTAGAATAAAAGGATGAGAACTTGCCCTACCATATAGCAAAATAATAAAATAACTTTAAAACAGTGTCACGTTGATGCAGAGACTGAAAAAAAATATATCAGTGGAACAGAAGAGAGTTCACAGATGGACCTGGGCACATGAGAGTTTAGTTTAAGGTTTTCATAGTCAGTGATTCTGTAACATCTTTCTACATTGATAGACAGTAACCACACTAGAGGGGCTGAGGATTTAATAATATGGGTAAACTGTTAAGCCACTGTGTTGTACATTTGAAACCAATATAAGATTGTATATTAACAATACTTCAGTAAGAAAAAGAGTTTCATATCAGTAGAGAGAGTAGGCTATTGAATAATGATGTTGGAGCAGCTGACTGCCGGGGGCCATGCTGCTCAAGCTGTGTAGCGAAGCTCCAGCTGGAGGAGACCCCCACAAAGCAGGAGCCTTTGCAGCTGGCTCCCCCTATTACCCACCTGGATTTGGTTATTCTCCATTATACTATTGGCTTTGCTTTTGCTTGCATTTTTGCCAAAGACTAAGCTAACCTTTGCTAAGCAGCATGGAAAGGAAGAGAACATAAACTTCCCAGAAGCTTTTTGGGACAGTGCTCCTGAAGAATAGAACACACAGAGGCCAGATGGTGATCTTGGCATGGAATACCAAAACCTGCAGTCAGTTAGTCAAACATTGACCGCCCCATCCCCACCTAAGTGGGAATGCCCCCCTTTTACTTATAATGCTAGTGAGATTAGTGATGAAGAGTTTTATAGGAAAATTAGAGAAATAGAATTATGAGAGATTACTGAATAGAATAACCCTGACACTTGATCAATCTTCTCATGTTTTCTTCCCTCTGCTACTTCTATAGTTTTTCTTCTTCCTTCCTAATTACAGCCCTTTACTAGAATTCATGCCTATACGTGAAATTACCAAGTACCATAATTCTTTCAAGTGGTAAAGATACCTCAACACAAGTGCTGGGCCTGGAAGCCATGGAGCATAAATCTGCAAAGAAGTGAAAAGCTAACCTTTATGAAGAATATTGCTTCTTTCTCACTTACCAGCTTTACATCTCCCTGTATGACCCCAGAAGATGGCTGGTTAGCCAGAGACGGGTAAGATTCCTCAAGGGAGGAACAACCTAAGACAGGCACAGTCACAGGGGGGCTATCAGGTGAGAAAATGGGGGCCAACAGAGTTGAGGCTTAGAACCTCACCCCCCAAGTGTTGAGAGAAATTGTCTGCACCAGTGGATGTTTTGTTGCCCTTGTCTAGCTTGGATTAATACCTAGTCTATAGGCAAGGACCTGATCATCTACACTTGCCTTCTTACAGCACTAAATCAAGCTTTTTATCTTTATCTTGCATCTACCTACAATAGAATAAATATTATGAGGGGATAAAGTGTACCCATTGCATTAAAAATATAGATGATGATACCTGCCTAGCTAACTGTAGCAGTAGGTGACCTATATTTCACCCTGAGCTGGTAGACTCCATAGTCACTGCTACATACTGCATGCTTCTGCAGTCACATGCACTACTTAGAAACTGCATTGCATAGAAATGTAAAACACGATAGAGTACATGTTTCTAGGAAAAGTTTCAGTCAAGGAACAGAAAATGATCACCTGTCTAACACTTGACCAACCATGAATAGATTAGAAAGAAGAAGAAAAAAAGCTTGCCTATACCCATTAATCAACTGCCTATACCAATTAATCAACAGAACAATAAAAAATCATATCCTTGTGCAAAATGGTATAAAAAAAGCTGTCATCGGCACTTTGTCGAGAGACCACCTCCATCTGACTCTGTGTCCTGTCTCTCTGTGCGCCAACTCCGTCTCATCCTTTCGGGCTTCACACCCCCTGCGGGAGCTGGACTCCAGCAGCTGACTATCAATTTGGGGAAAAATAAAACTTCAGTTAGATCCTTACACCATTCTTAAATATAAATTTTATGTGGATTTACAATGAATGTAAATGAAATATATAAATACTAGAACAAAACAGGAGATTATTTCAATAATCCTGAAATAGTGACAGCCTAAGAAGGCATGAAACTCAGATTTGAAGGGAAAGATAAACATTTGACTAAATGAAAATTAAAAAATTAAAATTTGGCACTTAGCAAAAAACCTCCATAAACAAAGTCAAGAAACAAATGACAGGCTGGAAGAAAAGATTTACAACACAACTAATAGGGAAAAGATTGATTACAGTAATTAGAGTCTAAGATCTCTAACAAATTAAGAAAGAAAGAACAAACAACTAAAATGAAAAAAACTTCACAGAAAGTAAAATACAAATGATTAGTAAATGAGTGGAAAGATAACATCATAAGCTATTAAGGAAATGCAGTTTTAAAAACAGGTTTCCCTATCAGATGAATAAAAGCAGAAAGTCTGTAGCAAGTGTTGGGTGAGGTATAGGGAAAACAGTCCCCTCCCCTCTTGGTAGGGGTATAAATTGACACCACCGTTTGGAAGGGCAATTTGGCAGTTTCTCTCAAAATAAAGAATACACACCCTGTGATGCAAGAAAATCTAGCCAGCAGAAATACTTGCACATCATGCAGAGATGTTCATGGCAGCATTGTTTGTAATTGGTGAAAATTTGGAGCCACCTAACTGTTCAAAACAAGAGTAGCTATATTAAATATGACACCTCCCTGCTTTGGAATTCCACACAGTCATCAATAAGAATTGAGTCAATCCAGATGGCTGATACAGCATATAGTAAATACAGTAGTGTAAAAATAGTGATTTGACAAACAGATGATCCTACTTTCATGTTTTAATTTGCATGTAGTGTGAATGTGAATAAAATACACACCTCTACGTGTTACTGGGATTTTCACTTTATCTTCATATGACTATTATTTATGAATTTGTTTATAGTATCAGGTATTGCTTTTCTAACTCTTAAAAAAAAGTAACTGAATAA